TTTGTGAAGTTGATCTCTGCATCATGCCCTCTAGAACAGAGGGTTTTGGTTTGACAGCGTTAGAAGCGTTGTCTGCTGGTCTTCCCATTCTTGTCAGTGGAAACTCAGGATTTGGTGAAGCACTGTGCACTGTACCATCAGGCAAATCATTCGTGGTGGAGTCTGAGGACCCAGAGGAGTGGGCAAAGGCAATTGCTGGTGTCCGACAGAAAGAGAGATCAGATCGACTTAAAGATATTCAACAACTGAGGAGTTCATATGAAGAGAAGTTTAGCTGGGAGAAGCAGTGTGACAGTCTTGTGGAGAAGATGTGGGACATAGTTCATGGTGAGATTGTTTTGAATATCCTTCAAAAAGTGTTTTAGGGGGCTACGCGGGTTTCTGTCTTTTGTTACCTGTGATTTAAAGTATAAACACCTCCTATAAAAAAGATGTTAAACATGAATAGTAATCATTCGTTTTATCCTATTTTGTTTACTGTGTTATTAAAACAAAAGCTTCTTTCTATCTTTTTAGCTTCTGAAAGACAAGACACAAGTTTCAGAGCTCAGCAGGTGGAAGTTATTAACACGTCAACCGAACAACTAACAGTTGATTCATCATTGACTCCAAGTGAGTAAAAGAATTTAATAACACATGATAATTGATATCCCCAAAGAAGTACAGACAGGTTACAAGGAGATCCAGCAATTTTCTTTCCTTAACTTTTGACTTCAGGCCAGCTATGCTTCGTAAAAACTTAGCAAGGTACTTTTTACTTATGAGACATGTTTTTACTTATACCCCTGCACTCTTCAGTCACAAACGTAAGACATGTAAAAACAAATTTGATTTTCTTTCACTTCCAGATCTGGATGGAGGGTTTAGTGTTATTTATTTCTTTGAGTCATTTGAAGTTTTCACCCAATTCGAAACTACCATAAATTGTCTGAAACCAGGCCTGAAACAAGGAGACATGGGGAGCTCTTACTGTCTCTATCAAAATCAGTTTATGTTCTATTCATGATACAGTTGTCTGTTGAAACAGTATTGAAGTAATCACATATTCAAACTGTAGAAGAAATATGTCAGTATATTTTTGAAGCCTGTACTTTTTTTCCAGGATTCCTCTTTCCAGTTACACAGATATGTCAGAGTGTAGACCTCATCGTTAATTTTTCTTCTCTGCTTCTTCCTCTCTTGATTATTGGTGCATTCATTCACAGGCAGAAATCGAAGCTAAAAAGTAACTTAATTGACAGCTGCAACTTCCTTTTTAAGGCTAAGTTGTTGGACAAAACAGCGGAAGTCTGGTGGTTGAGGCTCTTTTCTTTTTTACCCTAAAAGTTTCTCTTACTAGATTGAGAATTGTTAATTTCCAGCAGGCAATTGTTTTGCTTTTTCCATGCAGTTAGATTGATAAAGACCTTGTATTTTTTAGGTTTTCATGAACAAATCATCCAGGAACTTCAGCAGATGCAACTGGATGCAAGCAAAGTCAAGAGCAGAACAGATCTATCATTGGGGCTGAGGAATATTGCATCAGACAGGGGCTTCAGAATATCTGACAATCAAGGATTAGGAAATTGCATGTTCTATGCCTTGTCTGAACAACTGGAAATTGTTAAGGGAATCAAAATCCCACATGGTGAATTAAGACAAATCTTGGTTCAGTACCTCAGGGATAACCCAAAACTTGTAAGTTGATGTTAGTATGTCTAACAGAGTATGTCATGTGATGTTATTTAAAGAGTATGATAAAGGTTAAGAGATAACACAGGCCACTTGGCCAACACCACCAGAACCTATCCCAGTGTTCACAGCGTGAAGTGACCAGGAGTACTGTTACTCTTCCTGTATGGAATGATGGTCTTTTTTTTCAGGAGCTGTTATACCGGCTTGTACCCCTGGTGCAGAAAGGAACCTGAAATATTTAACTTTATTATTTAAGAAGCCATATGGTGATGTTGTTTACAGTTAAATTCATATGTTACTTAATGTGGGGTGTGAAGAAGCAGGCCACCACAGTTTTAGTCATTTGAATATTTCAGTTTTAAAAAACTTTCCCTTTAGACTTCCATCAGATGACAGAATTCTAGTCATTCTCTTAATGATGGATCTTTCTTCCTGTTTTCCTGCTGTTTGCAAAGCATTTTGGAACTTACACAGATGTTTTGAAAAAGCAACAAAATCTGTAGTATGAAGTAAATTGCCATTTAAAGGTCATCTCAAACAATTCTCATAAGATTACTCCCTGACTTGTACTCTATGCACTCAAGTTTCTATCAACAATCCTTTTATGTTTCTTTCTTTAACTGATCTTTATTACAGCCAGATGGAACAGATCTGTTTCACTTTGTCCATGGACATCAAACATGGAGTGAATACCTAGTACACATGGAAAGAGATGGTGCTTGGGGTGATCATGTGATTCTGTGTACCACAGCAAACTACTTTGAAACATGCATTCGTGTGGTCAGCAGTCTATCCCATAGAAATGATGTAATCATAATGCCACATTGTGCAGTTGACGAAAGGAAACCTCTTGTGCTGGGACATATTCATGAGGTGCACTATGTCAGCCTTCAACCCATGCAAGGTACTGCTCATTACATCACTCCAATGTAATGTAATTTCTGTTTTACAGTCATATTAGTTAGTTAGGATGCTCATTTTTCATTTTAAGACTGAGTTGACAACAGTCAACCTTTTTGTTGTTTGATTTGTGACTTTGCTCATTTAACACACATCATGAAATTTGTGGTTTTCATAATGTCATGCTTCATCACTGGCTCCCATCACAAAAATCAAACACAATTCATGCACTCTATTGTTCTCCCTCGCCATTTAATCACAGTGTTCTGATTATTGTGTTTACAGGTTAAAGTGGCAGGCCCCTACAGTCACTTTGATTGGCCCTTGTGAAGAGTGTGGCCTAGCAGAATGACTTTATAAGCATGCAGACTATTGATGCAAATTGGACAACTAGAGCATTCTTCATCCTGATTTATCCAATGTAAACTTCAAAACTTTAGATTTGGTTTTAGAGGTTCTATAATATTAGTTTTCAAATGTATCATATGAAAAGAAAAACAATCCAAATGACAAGGGATGCAAAGAAACGACATCATACTGTTTAAAGTTATTGTAACTATACAAAAGTGTTTACAGGAAACAAAACACTATCACCAATATGAAATTTTATTTAGGGGATTTGAAACATGAACTCAGTTACTCTTAATTTTAATGGACCAACAAAAATATTTATTGCTACATACCATTTGTATGTACAACTTTGAATCTACCTCTCACCTTTTTAACTGCCACAGATAGGCAATGGATCAGTGCTAATTGATGATCTTACATTAAATTGTATATTAGGGTAAAATCGTAAGACTCTCCATTTATTGTAATTGTTTTAGTGTAGTAGGAAATGTTTTTGCAAAGGGTAGTTGTTTATGAATATATATAATGATGGATTGTAATGAAATCTGTATTTTGCACTGAAACTTTGCAAAATTCTTAAATTTAACCACAGTGATTCCTTATAGTTTTTAATCATCTGTCACCTTATATGAGCACAGAAAATCAGCTTTAATAATAACTGAATGCATGTGATCACTGCAATATTCATGATGAAATTTGCCAAGAAAAAAGCAATTTATTGATACTTTTAAGCTTTCCTACAATTGACCCCTCCCTCCTCCTATTAAAATTGGTGATATCATTATCTGTTACTTAGGCATTAGTAGATCAACATATCAGATATACATATTTTTAAATCATCTAGTGGTATGAAATACTTGAGATCTCCTTACTAGTGTTACTTCAAGACAAAGTATTGTAAAAATGGAAGTTAGCAAAAATAAATATGTCTACAAAGTCTGTTCTGCAGCGCTCTACCAATTGAGCTAACAAGCCAACTGGGAGCTGGTCAATGGATTGGGTACAAATAAACATCCAAGTGAATGAAGATTTTAGATATATCTTCATTCCCTTGGATATTTATTTGTACCCAATTCATTGTCCAGCTCCCAGTTGGCTTGTTAGCTCAATTGGTAGAGCGCTGCACCGGTATCGCAGAGGTCATGGGTTCAAATCCCGTACGGGCCTGAATTTTTTTCAGGTCCTATTTACAACTACTCGTTTCAGTAGTGTTCTTAGCTGCGAGGATCTCCTAATTTCATCTCTCCACCGCAGTGCAAATATGTGAAATTTTCATATATCTAAAATCTGCAATGTAGTCTGTTTACATATGCGCCGCAGCCGCATTGTATTTTAATAAGTTTTTGGCTATCTCTAAATATGAAGGGTTCTAAAACCCAATGTACTTCTTTTGTTGACTCTCATTCATGACCTAAGAACTGTGTAACTTTGGAATGACATACTAATGTATAGTTTTTTGTTTGACCTCAAAATATTTTGAATTGTGTTGTTCCAGCAGATATTGATATTGACTGCAACTGGAAAAATCTCGAGTGCACAACTGTCGCTTATATCGATAATCTTAACTAACTCCTTGCCCTTGGTTTTCATTCTTGTACTGTGTATTAGGATACATGTATACACCATTCACAGCCTGGCTGCCACAGGGTGACCTCAATATTTCCTGAGACAACACATGTCAATATTCCTTTACTTTAAGAAACTAGGAAGAGATGGAGGTCTCAAATTTTGCGCCCTGGTTTAGGCGAGTTGATACTTGGTAAAGAATTGTGAACATTTTCTTAACTTACAGTGGTGGTGCCAATAAATTACGCTCCGGAGATAAAAATGTTTATCCATGTGATGCTGTTGCAATATATACGCATCATATGTTTATCCATCAGTTGCAGGCGAAGTAAATACACGAGTAACTATCTTCCCTCCTGCAGTATTCCGCCGCGAAGGTTGGAAGAATTCATTTTCGTAACCATGGTTATGGACACACCTCCGTCACACCTCTTTATTGCTCCAATGAGAGTTTGCGTTTAGCTTTCCCAGAATGCCCGGGCAATCATCTAGCCAGAAGTTCATTTTTACTCCAAAGTTTGCATGTAAACCGCGTATGCTTTGTATTTCTTCTTCTATTAACCGTATAAGGTCTATTTTGTATTGGAGATCGTGTGCTAGCCTTGCGTAGGGTGGAGTTTTTTCTTGCAAGTCTTTACGACCGTTTTTAACTCATTCAGAAGAGGTAAGTGCAAAGTAGTTCGCAGCTTGGTCAGCGAGGAGTCGTATGTAAATTATTCCTTCGTTGCTTTGGTCAGTTAGCCTCTCTCGCTTCTCGTTTGTTTTTGTTACTGACGCGTATTGATAAAAACTGTTAATGACGATGAAAAAATTCACGTTTAAATGATTTGCCTTCGATACTTATTTGTATGTTCATCCTCGGAACTGTCTTAAAGTAATCGTTCCATGTTTTCGCTATCGAGGGCTTCTAACAATTCAATAAAGAACAGAGTTATTGTGGAAACTGTGAGATAGCCGTTTTGAGGGGAGCTGTTGGGCAGTACAATGTAATACACACGCTACCCAACGAGTCAGTGGCACCGATGCATAAATCAGCCCATGTGGTGGAATCTCCACAGGCATTATCACTAAACATGTGTATGATGATTTATGGTTTTCAATCCTATTGAAATTTATCCAAGTTAGTTCTTTTAGGTGAAAGATTTAGGATAACTGACTGAATTAATAATCAATTGTTTGCTCTAATACTCTCACAATTCTGCAAAAAACATCGGGTTTTGTAATTGGTTAAATATCCTCCATACTAGGGGCTATACCATTTTTTGAACAGTTAGGAAAATCAACTTTGGGTTGCACTATGTCAAGGTAGTCTTGAGGTAAATACTGATTTGGTTCTTACTTGTTTGGTAGTTTTCCATGCAGATGGTGGTTTCCACTAAAACGACCATAACCCATGGATTTCTGTTTTGAAAGGGACCAAATTACTAAAATTAAAAAGTTTAGTCCAAGTGCAATACAGTAAACCACTTGCTAACATTACTTACTCTTGTTCTACAGAGGAATATTGGTCATCAGTTGTTTTTGTAAGGACCTCAGGAAAAAGTTCCCCAGTATGGCACTCAGGCTTGGTAAGAAGTTATTATTTGCAGTTATAGGTGAATTCATCTGCTGCAATGACAGTTATAAAATGAATGATTTCATTTTGATGTTTTAAATAAAAATTTAAGATGACGTGGTGGGCATGGCCACCACGTCCACCGCCCTGGCCACTGCCACCATGCCCCCCTCTTCCTCCTCTCTTGCCTCCTCCTCTTCCATAGGGAGAGGCACACTCCTTGTATGAGTGGCCTCTCTCTCCACAGTTGAAACATTTTTTATTTCTTATAGAGAAAATTAAAAGAAAAAAATTTGATTAAAAGTTGCAATAGGAAAATGCTCTTACAAGGAGATGTTACCCAACTGACAACTATACTCACAAGATCTAAATTAATAAACCTGTTACCCTAAAATCCCTGTTTGTATTATCATAGATTTTTATCTTTCCTACAATGCCTGCATACTGCAGCTTTTTTCATAATTGACATAAAATAGTCGTTGTATAATGTTTATGTATTGGAAACCATTGCAATGGACCTTCAAGGGTTTTTTTTATTTGATCTCTATTTCATTTCTTTGTCAGCAGTCTAAAATAATCATAAAGTATTGCCTTTCTTTTTCTTCCCACCTTTCAGTCTTTGAGAAATAATCTTAATCTTTTCTATATGAGAATTGTTAAGAAGTGGCATTTGTTTTAATGCAAATAGGGATTTACATTCATTTGTTAGGTAGTATCGTTTTTGGCTCTCATTGAATGAACAATGTATTTTCACAGTTGTTAGCTTTCAGTCTCTGTTGGACAGTGAGTGAAATACTTAGTTATTGTATGAAATTAAACCATACCAAGGAAAGTGCTTGAACAATTTTTATCCATTTGTGCCACTGACTTAAGAAAAAACTCATTAGTTCACAGCACTCACCCATTTATTTATTTTCTTTTTTAATGCAATGAAACTCATTTGTGCACACTTTCCATGGGATAATCTATATTTGTTTCTGATTGAAAAATATTTATTGGGCCCCATATTATTTTTAAAATTTAATTTCTTTTTTCTTATGCATGATCAATGTAAGATTTTCTGAATTCTGTAGAAAATTACTTTTATTTTATTATTTTTTTTACAATGTCAGTTGTTAACGATTTAATTTGCCATTCCACTTCTTCCATCCCTTCTCTTTTTTACTATTTTTCTTGTCCAAATCTCTTTTCTGAGAAAAAAAAAAAACTCCTCCAAATTTTCATATGCCAGTGGTTCATTCTCTGGAATCTCAAAGGTTATTCTGGTCAACAGAAATAAAGACTGCTTGCTCTCTTTGAGGTTCTCAATATTAGCAAGTATTTTGGCATGGCTTAAATAAGACAACTTGACAATGATTTTTGGTTGAGCATTAAAACAATCTTAAGCATATTCTCAGCACTACTAAAGAACAAACTGTAGGGTTGTCAGTTGAGTGATCAGTCAGCTCTCTGATCCTGGGAATCAAAAGGCTGCACCATGATTCAATGTAGTTGGCTGTTAGAGAAGACAAGCTGGGAATTTGAACATGGTGATATTTTTACTGGTCATGGACAGCACTATTTATAGTTTTGATTGAGCATTAATTAATCAAATATTGCTAACTTTTAGCAGCTTGGTCTTGGTTTTGGTTTGAAAATGACAAATGAAAAATAGAAACAAACAAATGCACATTTTGAGATTAGGGAGTATCACAGTCCCAACGGTGCTTTTAATTTATTTCTTGGAGTTTTTTTATTTTGTATTTTTATTTTCAGTAAATCACACTAAGGGCAAAAGGGTGCCCATTGCCAAATTTTTGACTCAGCAGGAGACAATCCTTGAACAGTTAAGGTTCCTCTCTGTAATCCAAAGTGCAGCAGCAAACACAACTACTCTAGTATATTTTCACCGCTAATTCTTTAAGGGCTGGCAGAAAAATAGAAATCTTTGGTTGTTGAGTTCTATACTTCTCTTTTCAGGCTACATTCTGAGCACCCCTTTGAATGGAGCGCTTAGAGTCTAACAGAAATATTACAGCAGATCACACCACCATAGTGCTGCAACAGCTGACATTTGGCTGATCTCTGGTAAGACTTCATCACACCTTTATTACACTTTGATCATTTGATAAGTTGTCATCACAGACATATTTGACTTGCCTATCCATTTTTTTCCTGACCAATAGATTTTTTTCTTTTTTTTTTTTTTCTTTTTGATTCATGCATCAAACAGCCCATTCTACATTTAATTTAATCATATGTTGCATCATACCGGAGAAAAAACAAAACAAAAGGAGACAAATTAACATAAAAAAAATAATAATCTGAAGACAAATTTGTCCTGAAGAATTCATTTAAAGCAGCAACTACATATGATCGCTATTCTACCGAGGGAAAAAGCCTTTGAAAATCGGGAGTATTATGTAAGCTTTATTAAAAATAAATTAACAAACCAAACCTCATGTGCCTTATTCTTTCATTCGTGATATTCTTTAATTCTAGGTTTCAAATAACTTTCCGATTAGGTAATTTGTCAGGGGTACAATTAATAAGAGCAATGCTCAGGAAAAAATTGTGGGCTTATTTTTTTTGGAACACTTTTTGACTATTTTGTTTTTTTCTTTCTTCATCCAATTGAAAGTAATTCATGGAATCAAGCTTAAAACAACTATTCAACAAAGTGGAGCTGGCTAGTGGTTGATAATAATATTCCTGCAACGATTACAATATGTTCGGGGGCAAATCCAGCGCGAGTTGTTGGGAAGTGGCTGGCAAAGGATATTCAGCGTTTGAGTAGCCACTCAGAGCTCATATTCATCTTTTTGTACTATAGCATGTCAAGAATTTAAAGAAAGCAACAAAGCTTTTAAGTCTGTAATACATGTTTCAACAGAAACTTCTGTCATCTTCAGTTAATTAATGTTCAAAGCGTTGGAAGTTGAATTATGTAGTGCATAGAACAATGCTAATTATGATAAATAGTGACAACAATAAAAGAGGTAAAGCATGAAAGTGTGAGAATTAAAAGGATAGTTTCAGATTTACATGGTGTAATTGTTGATTCATGGATGGTTGTTCTCTTTGAATATGAGTAGCCTCTTTTATCTTGAGTTGAAAACCGGTAGAGGTGTGATCTAAAACATGGAAGTTATCTGCTGAACGCAAAGCGCGACAATGCAGAATCTTTCAGATGCTTGAAAATGTGAGAGGCCCTGTCACTGACTAAGTGCTCTCTAACACGTGTGGAAAAATGCCGGCAGGTTTCACCGACGTATCAGGCATTACAGCCAGCACATACAAACTTATAAACCACACGTGAACGGAGCCCGTCAGCGACAGGGTTTTCCACACCAGACAAGAAGCCGATTTGGAAGGAAGATAAAACTAGTTTAATATCCAAGTCATTGCAATAGCGCTTAATAAAATGGCGAATCTTTTTTTGAGTGATAGCAAAAAAGTGGCCCATTTAGGGTAGCTTAAAGTAAAACGTAGGTGAAGTGGTAGGAAGGGAACCCCGGGGATGATGATTGCTTTGGGTCCCAGTGATGTAACGGTTTATAATCTTCTCGATTAAATGAGCAGGGAAAAGATTCATTTTTAGAATATCAATAAGTTTGTTAATGTCCTCGTGAAACCCTAACCAGGTGTTATTAATCTTGTAGGCCCTATCAACGAGAGTCTTAATGAGACCCACTTTGTAAGAGTACGTGGTGAAGCTGAAATAATTAGTTAGTAACCCAGTGAGTTGGTAACCAGACTGAGTTTCTTATCTGTGCATTGCCTCGATGTGACCGCGAGATGCCTCAATCGTGAATGGTACATTTTAATGTTGAATTGAATTGAATCAATTCTCCTTTTTATTTAGTATTTTTTCAGGTTTTCTACTTCCGTATGTATGTTGGCATTGTAATACTGGGTGCTCTTCACGGGCTGTTACTCCTTCCAGTTTCGCTAAGTTACGTTGGCCCAGCTCCCCGAAAAATTCCTCCCACAGCGACTTCGTCAGATCACACGGCCGTTTCTGAGCGCACGCCTTTAATAAAGGCGTAACTGAGTATCAATGTAAAATAAATTTTAGCCGTAACTTTAACCTTTTTCCGCTTAGGTATTCAAATTTCGCGTGCATCTCGGCGTTGTTTTGATCGGCGCGTAGCATGGTCTCTTGTTTCTTCCTGTACTTCTGAGTTATGTGGGCCCGATGTCTTCAAAGGCAGTGGCGGTGTTGGAATACGAGTCATCGTTAAGGCAACGATGATGAAAGGAAACTTGCTCTATTCTGAACCAGTGGAATCCAGTGACCTTGGACTGTTAAACTGAAATTGTCATTGCACATGATATTTTGTCTTTTTATGTTATTTAAAGCCTATTATAATAACGCAAAATCAATTTAAGAATAAGAAAAAAGAATGGCAAATTAACACTGATCTTAAAGCGAAGAAGCTTTTGAAAGCTGTGTTTTGTGAGTGGTGTTTGTTGCATTTGAGGAGAAAAATAAAGTTCCTAGCCTTCTACTTCTGTTGTTTTTGTTCCCATGGAACAGAACATGCTAGCTTATGAACAGTCGAACGAAAGGAATGAAACAAATCTTTTTATAACATAGCTAGTAAATTTGCGTAATCAAATTCAATTGCGCGAGCGTGCTTCATATTCCTATTGTGCACGTTCATGACGTCAGCAAACAAATCCCTCGAGAAGAAGATTTTCCATCGGGTTGATAATGTTATAAAAAAATTGTTTCATTCGTCAACTGTGCGTTCATCGAGATATGAAGCACTTGGGAAGTTTGGAGAGCACTCAAGAAGCTAGAGTTGCTCTCGGCTACGCCTCGAGCAACTCTTACGCATCTTTCGTGCTCTCCAAACTTCCCGCGTGCTTCATATCTCGATGAACGCACGCTGACGTATGAACCAATTGTTAATGGCGCCGCTCACGTTGTTGTTGTTTTATTTTTTCTGTTTTAATTTGTTGTCCTTTTTTTTCTCTCCATTGGATTTATTGGTAAAAATAATGTCGTTGATTCCCAGGTTTTTTTTTAGGACCTTAACCCTTAAACTCCCAAGATCTCATTATTAATTCTCTTTACTATCTTTCATACATTTCTCATAATGTCAATTTGGAGAATTTGGTACCAGATCAACTAATAAAGTTTATTCTCATGCTTAATATCTTGCTTGTTATTGTATTGATATTGTAAGGAGAATTTCTCTCTTGGTCGCTCATGGGAGGTAAAGGGTTAATAATCTTGCTTTGAGAAGCTTTTCTCCTGCTGTTCGTTTGTTGCATCGCAAAGAGCTTGGAGGATGGGAGAGTGGGTGAAAGAGATCAAGTTGGTCAGCGGTGATAAACTACGTATTCAAACCAGCACTACAGTCGACGGGTATGCGCGAGAGGATAAGTTCTTGTCGACCGTGCGCCAATTTCCCGCGCGTTGAGAATTCGCTTCTCCTCCAGCTAAGAAAAGACACTATTCAATAGACTAATGAGTGACATCGCATCCTGTTTAAGAGTCAATTTCCGATAAACACAGCGTGTTGGCTGGATACACGTAAACACATGCTGCAGTACTTTTTCGATGTACCTAATATACTGTTAGCGCACAGCCATCGCACGCAAAAAACTTTCACCTCAAATACATGACACGTCGTATCATCGAAATTTCGAGGAACATTTGAAGCTGAAGCGATGATTGTGAGCAAAACCATACGATACTTAAGTAGACTTTAAGAACTAAACAGATTATATTTCATAAAACAACCTTTTTGTTTGTAACCTCTTCGCACTCAATTTTTCATCAAAAATATAAGTGGTTAAATGACATCGATATAAGCTATTCTACGGTGGGTAGATCAAGTCAAATTTTTTGATACGCCGAAAATGTCTGAGAAAACGGGGAAGAAAACTTAGTCTAGCCATAAACTAGGGAAATTATTACTTTTGGCTCCAATATCTTTAAAATTCGTCATGTGATATAAACCCTCGAGCTTTCAAGGGTGACTACAAAGTCGCCCACAATCTTGACGCAGCTAGGGAGGGGTAATTAAAACTTTATACTCACTCCTTCAGGTCGTGTTGAAATGTATTAATACAGATGTACCGCTAAATAATTTACCAGGACAGAAGAAACCAATTTAGGAATGAAGGAGGGACTACTGGTAACATGGTGGGTTAGGAACACGTTCTAAATCTATTTGGCGCATTTTGGAGCACTGATTGGGGAATGAAATTATTGTCACTTCCAAGCAACCTTGGGGCTAGTTCATTTTTCTTTTTATTGTTATTTCTACTGTAACAGCCTCGTACACTGGGGCTAGGGCATTTTTCTACTTCCTTTTTTCCAATAAAGTGCGTAGGGGGATGGGACCCAAGCTCCCTCGGACCCCTATTCCTACGGAAAAGATTTACACAGCCGCTGTTTTAACTAGCAGGGTTTGGTCATACTGGTCATACTGTTAGAGTTTCCTGACTTTTCGGGTCTGGTTAACTGTCTTTTAAAAGCAAAGGACTCGCACTTCGCACATCCTCGCGCGCTTGCCTCTGGTCGACTGCAAAACGCAACTGAGATACGCCTGTTCTGCAGGTAGATTTAAAATCGCTTAAAATCCAAGCGACAGCGCTGTCCTTAGACATGTCTCTTCCAGGTTCATCCTTGGTTCACTTATTTTTCTACGTCGTGTTTTGTCGGTTTTTTTTCTTTTTACCCTTTAAAGCGCCACCTTCTAAAAACTGTTTAGATTCCAAATCTTGCATGTCACCTCATTATAAGTCGGTCCATGAGTTTAACGAAAAGTTCAGTCTTCTGTCACAGATAGCTTTGGGTTCAGGCATAACTTCCATGAGTGACCAAGACAGAATTTCTCCTCACAATATCAAGACAATATCAAGAAGACAAGTGAGAGAACAGCCATGTG